CCAGTCTTCAGCACTGCTGCAAAATACAAATAGGCTGGCTGAACCCAATATTATTGGGCATGCTTCTGAATTAATTCCTCCCAGAAAGCTACAAGAAGAAAATTTTAGCTGTGTGATAAATTAAGTTGCCAAATGAAATGGATTAGCAATCAGCGATGGGCTGTCAGATCAATTTCAGATTTAAATTCCTCCTCTCCCCTCACCTGTTCATTAAGCTACAGATTCATGGCAACCTCAGTGACTGATTATGCATTAACAAGCTGTTCATGTGGGGCGGTGGGGCTCAGTTAGTCAACAGACTATACTAGCACGTTCATTTAAACATAATTCATGGCTAATATATTCCGTTCACAATTCCAACATATAAATACCCTACCTCTACCTTGAAGTTTAATTTTTGGCTTGACAAGGCATGAGATGCTTCATAAAATTAAGATGCAGCTAAGCAAACCAGAAAGTCCCTGAAGGTCAACAGAAGCAGTGGGAAGAGTCAAGCAGTAAAACTTCATGCTCTATGTAGTTTAAAACTGTAAGTTGACACTATGCTTTTAAGATGGCAGTGTTTCCTAAACCTTTTTCTTTTCTATAAATGATCTTTACAAAGAGCAACTGGAATTATTTTTTCACATGAAACGTAGAGAATACATTTTGCCGTATAGAGTAGATATAGATCTTGTATTCGGTAGGTACTGCAATATGATATGATAGTTGCTTCAAATGTGTTTCTGGCAGCATTCTTAAAATTCTGTACCAGTAACTAATTTGTTTTTACTTCTACATGAGAAATGAATCACCATCAGTTAAGTAAATTAAAAGCTACATTATACTTTTCAACAGATTTACCAGCCACAAAGCCTCATTTCTTGCAAACTCTGTTGCCTAACCATAGCAATTTATCTTTATTGTCTCAGTGAAATGACACCAACACAGAAGCTAGTAAGGAAGCAGGACTAAAATTACTGATGTCCACCCCAAAGTTGAGAAAGTTTAGACAGGTATAAACAAACATGCTGGGGAAAATGTTATTCCTGTTTTTAGGCATGAACTTCCATCAAGGGAAGTACAAGAGAAACATGGCACAGTCATACCTCGGGTTACAGATGCTTCAGGTTGCGTTTTTTCGGGTTGCGGACCCCCGAAACCCGGACGTACCGGAATGGGTTACTTCCAGGTTTCGGCGGTCGTGCATGCGCAGAAGCACTAAATCACGCTTTGCGCAGAAGCACCGAATCGCAACCCACGCATGCGCAGATGCAGGTTGCAGACATGCATCCCGCATGGATCATGTTCGCAACCCGAGCGTCCTCTGTATTTATAAATTTCATCAGTTTGATACTACCTTACTCTGATACTCAAGGGCAGATCACAGAGCAAGGAATACTTTGTAGCAGAGTCTTACAATTATGTCCACAAAGGCTATTAGTCTGTCACAAACATTTTCTGCTTTCTGAGCTTTGGCAGAGGAGGGATGGAGAGCCAGGGCCAACATCAGCAGCAGGCATCCTGGAGCACCTGCCAAGGAGGACTCAGCACATTGGCAAGATCTACTGCTGATACCTGCCCTAAACCCTCCTCTATTTTATTTTTCTTGCTAGACATTCCAAGCAGCAGCACATGGCTGGATTTAGCAAGCATTTTGATGTTCCATGCACCCCACTGGAGGATTGTGAGAAATTAAGACAGTAGCACACAGCTACCAAGCTCTGCTATTGCCTACCTCCACTGCCAGGTAAGCTCAGTAGCGCCATCAACCAGGGAGGGGGCCCATCAGAGAGCACTTTGCCAGGGCTAACTCAAACCTGAAGCCAACATTCTCTTTTTTTAAAAAAAAAAAAGATATTTATTAAAGTTTTAGACAGTAAAACAAACTTCACATTCACAACCAAAAAAGGAAAAACACCATCACAATCAATCAAAAAAGCCAAAAAAAGAAAAAAAAATACAGTAGAAAACCCCCCATACAAAATAGAAGAAAAAAGACATAAAAAGGACATAAAAAAAATCAATTTCTTAAATATTATTTTCATAACCCTCCTTCCAGACTCCCTCACATCTCCCTTTTCTGTGTTCCCTTTTACAAAATCTTATTCAGCAATACTTCACCTTCTTTCAAATCTTATTTTATGTTATACATTTCAACTATTATGTCTCCAATTTTTCCCTTTGTTATCAGTTATTTGAGTTTGACATAATGTTATTCTAACTTCACCTTGGTTCTTATTAACCAGTTTTTGCGTACTCCTTTCAGCTATGTCACTAATGCCATATTATCTTTATATCCTGCATCATTCTAACATTCATACAGTTTACAATACTTTTGCAAGTAGTCCTTAAATTTCTTCCAGTCCTCTTCCACTAACTCTTCTCCCAGGTCTCGGATTCTGCCAGTCATTTCTGCCAATTCCATATAGTCTATCAGTTGCATCTGCCATTCTTCCAGAGTGAGCAAATCTTGTGTCTTCCAATGTTTTGCGATGAGTATTCTTGCTGCTGTTGTTGCATACATAAAGAAAGTTCTGTCCTTCTTTGGCACCATTTGGCCAACAATGCCCAAAAGGAAGGCTTCTGGTTTCTTAGGGAAGGTATATTTAAATACCTTTTTCAATTCATTATATATCATTTCCCAGAAAGCCTTGACCCTTGGGCACGTCCACCAGAGGTGAAAGAATGTTCCCTCAGTTTCTTTACATTTCCAACACTTATTATCCGTCAAATGGTATATTTTTGCAAGCTTGACTGGGGTCATGTACCACCTGTATATCATTTTCATAATATTTTCTTTCAGGGCATTACATGCCGTGAATTTCACACCAGTGGTCCATAACCGTTCCCAGTCAGCAAACATAATATTGTAGCCAATGTCCTGAGCCCACTTTATCATAGCTGATTTGACCGTTTCATCCTGAGTGTTACATTTTAACAGCAAGTTATACATTCTTGAAAGTACCTTAATTTTAGGTTCTAACAGTTCTGTTTCTAGTTTCGATTTTTCCACCTGGAAGCCTGTTTTTTTGTCAATATTAAAGACCTCCCTAATCTGGCAATAGTGTAACCAATCTCGCACTTTATCCTTTAATTTCTCAAAACTCTGCAATCTGAAGCCAACATTCTCGAGAGTTTTGTCATTCCTGCTATGGCATGCTGCACTTCTACATAAAGTGTGAAGAAAGGGGGCTTCCCTCATCTGGCAGCCTACTTGCTAGGCACAGAGAACAGACAACACTACAGCTCTTCTTGGCTCCCTTACTCTCCCGCATGCAACTCCTTATCACCTATGCCCACCAGATGAGTGATTAAATACAAGGATGTTCTAGTACAGTGATATAAGTTAGCAACTGCCCCACCCCGTTCCACTCTATTCCAGGTCCAAAACAACCAGCCTGTTGGTGGGTCGACACCAATTGAACATGTGCAAAATGATCGCTGCCTATACTCAGAATATTCAAGGGAAGACATGATGAGTAGAGGAAATTTACAGCAGGACAAAAACTGTTGTTATTTTTATCAATTAGCAAAAGCAAGCTTTTAGCAAAGCAAGAGGGACCCTACAAAATCATTATTGTCCTCACCCCCCAATTTGCTCCTTTCCCCACAGCATTCTCTTTTCCTTTGTTTCACTCTTTTTAGTGTTACATCAGCTGACCATTTTCAGTTACTGTGAAGTAGGGCCAAACTACATACTGACCAGAGTTACTCCAAAGTCAGCACTAGGGCTGACAACAACAACAAAATCTTTATTAGGGTCATAAACCAGCGAAAAAGGGTGGGATGCAGTCATTTAAAATCTGAAAAGCGTTTTGGAAAGCTAAAAGGTATTAAAACAGAAGGTGAATATAAAAGTCTCTAAGAATTTAAAAGAAGCTAAAAGAAGCTAAAAGAAGGGATAGGAGCATTGGGCAGATGTGGAAAAGAATAAAAGGTTGATATATAAAAGACTTTAACTATTAATCTATAGAGCACTCTCATATGTTAATTAAATCTAGTTTGTGGCCCAGGTCATCCCCCGACGAATTTTGAGCACTGCTATGCAGAATCTAGCAATATTGTATGTTGTAGCAGGATTGGTATCTGAGAGCAACAGGGAGGTATAGAATTGCCCTGTGCTCCCCGGGTACTTATAAAGCAGTGGGGAAATCAGGCTAAGACTAGAACTGAAAATGAGGGTGGGGAAGGAATGCTCATGCAAAAGGGAAGTGAGGGAAGAAAGCAATGCAGTATTACATCCTTACTGAACCACTGTGAAGATGCAAGAAAACAAAGTTGAAGCAATTTCAATTCTCCTGTTGGCTTTGGACCTGCTTGTACAATCCCTGCATTGCACATCTTACATGCAAGCAGCAAAATGAAATCTCATTTAAAAGGCCTTATTTATCCAGCATCATCCTATGACCCTCACACCATCCCCATATACAAAATTTAAATTCCGTTGCAAATAATGCGATCAGAATCAATCATAAGAGATGTACACTACATTAACATTACATTAACAGCTTCAAACAGATATGATTTGCAAGAAATCACAGAAACTGACATCATTTTCTTGATGCTTTTGCAGGGATTATGTACTCTGTGATTCTACCAAACCCACCCAATACTGTATTGGTGATAGAATTTAGTACCCTGAGAATCTCAACTGTCATTAAAGATCAAACTAGTAAATTTCTAGAAGCTCTATTGATGCAGTAAACCAACAAACCCTTGCTTCATGTTTCAGACCACATGTAATTATTATTACAAAGCAAAAGATTCATACATAAGCCCTCTTCAGAATATTGATAGAAAAAATCATTGGTGGTTCAGTAGTAGAATTCATGCGTGCCATGTGGGAGGCCCAGGTTTCATTCCCACCCAATGCAACAGTGCTTTGATTCCTGCACAGCACCAAATACATGCAGTTCTGCATATTTTGGCCTCCTACACCCCAAAGATTATCCGGATATATTTTACTGGACACTTCTATTTCATAGGTCATATTTAACTTTTTAACATTTAGCACCTACCAGCATTAACTATGGCATCAATCTCAAGCACCGTGATATCACCTCTGTAGAGGGAGACTTTCTCACTCAGATTTTTCTTCTCCAGCAAAGGTTCCTGGGTGTTTTCTTCTGTAAGAAAATGAAAATATCTTAACATACACACCAGTAGCACCACGCACTGAAGAAAAAACCCCCATAGTGTATAGCAGAGGATTAGTATTTTACAACTGTAATTTTAATACTATAAGGATTAAAATTAGATCTACTCATTACCAGCAGCTGTGTTAACACACAACAATGAACCAGACTTCCAAGCTTATCATAGTTTATCACGAACAGACAGCTTCACTCCACCCCTGTCATGAGCAGGATAAAGAAACCTGGAAGCTTTGACTTCACATTACCTCTGAGTCAGGGACTGGGATTTTCTCCTTAACATGGCTTCAGGTTGATTACTGATTGTGATTTGTTAATTTTATGTTTTTAAGTTTCTCACAACTGAGACAGAATCAGTAATGGCATAAAACAAAGTCAAGTAATGTTTGTTATAAAACAATAAATATTTTATTGTTAAAGTTGGAGGTAACCAATGACAAATAGCCCCAAGAAGCAGATTTCCATCCTTTTTTAAACAGTATTATTAAATGGACACTTAAATGGACACAGGGACAACTGCCCATTCTCAAGATGATACAATATACAGAATTGCACCACTGCAGTCTGCTAGCTTTCATCAACTGTCATGCTTATAACTACATCTACATAAAAATGTGTGGAAAAGAGATGTGCTTGAGGGAAATACAACGCCTTCTATATGTAAGCTAGACTTACAGTGTAGAAGCAGATTTTGGAAAGAGCCAATTGCAACCCTACAACAAATCCAAAACAAAAAGAGATTACATCAAAGACAACTCCCAAGACTGGAGACAAACATAATGGAATCAAATGTTCCCGGTTTAAGAAGCATGCTCTTACATCCATTGGTGTCCTCTTTATTCTCAGGAAATGCTTTTTTGCACACCAAAAGGAAATCTATTCATCCTTACACGGGTCTGTGACACATATTATCCTGTATAATGTGCTAGTGAATGTGAGCTGTACAGAGTAAAGAAGTTGTGAAGTTGTTACCATTTTTTTTACAGCATTTTGTCATGCTCAACTGAATCAGCAAGTGGTAATGTAACCTAGTCATCTGAAAATCTTCACCTACTGATTTATGAAGATTATCTAGCTATTAAAGGCACAAGAACAAGCCAAGAGGTTTGTTGATGAATTGGCAGCTGTAGTGTTAACAACTTACACATGACCAGGCCAGCAGATGCAGCAAAAGGTTTAGAAACAAGGAAGTCGTTTTTGGAAGACCCCATGAATGGGCTGAAATGTATAATAATAATGCCAATAATAATAAATTTTATTTATACCCCGCCCTCCCAGGCCAGAGCCAGGCTCAGGGCAGCTAACACCAGTAAAATTACAACAAAAACATAATGGGGGGGGAATTTAAAATACAGGTTAAAATGCAATTTAAAATGCAGCCTCATTTTAAAAGTAGCCCATAAATCAAAAGCATAAGAGGAGGTAAACAGAAGGGTCAGACTGAGTCCAAACCAAAGGCCAGGCGGAACAGCTCTGTCTTGCAGGTCCTGTGGAAAGATATCAAGTCCCACAGGGCCCTAGTCTCTTGTGACAGAGCATTCCACCAAGTCGGGGCCAGTACTGAAAAGGCCCTGGCCCTAGTTGAGACCAATCTAACCACCTTGAGACCTGGGACCTCCAAAGTGTTGTCATTTGTGGACCTTAAGGTCTTCCGCGGGGCATATCAGGAGAGGGTGTAATGCCCAAATTTGCCTGCCTTGACAATGTGATCATGTTAAGAGAACCATCAGAGAGTGAATGTAGGACTTTGGGTTGCCATATGTGCTCTTTTTCCAGGACACATCCTCTTTTTCAGGTCTAGTTGCCATATGTCCTCTCCCCCCCCACCCCGGACATATTCTCTTTTTCAGGATCAAAATTTATGTCTGGGCGCATTTTTAAAATTTGGTAAAATATCCAAGATTTTTGTTTTTTGTTTACAGTAACCCAAGAAAATTGTTCTAATGCATTAAACTCAGATCTAAGGCACCTGGCTAAGCTAGTCTGCAGCAGTTAATCACAACAGAGCAGCATCTTAAACTAGCTACATACAGTATAAATTCCTTCTCTTGTGGCTGGACTAAAAGGATGCTGGCTCAGCTGCAAGATCTTGGAGGAGTCTGGGAGGGCAAGAGTTAACATAGCGATCCGTAGTCAAAAGTAGAAGTCGGCAAATATGCCCTCTTTTTTGCTCTTCAAAACATGGCAATTCTAGAGAATGTGCTCTACCAGAACACCAGAACTAATTGGGTACCATAGTCAAGGCTCTTGGACTGCATTGGCCTAAGGAAGGGGGAAATTGTGGCAGATCACTAGACTTGACCAGAAGTAAAAAAGCTATTGATGTGGTTATACAGTGGTACCTCCAGTTACGAACTTAATTCATTCCGGAGGTCCGTTCTTAACCCAAAACTGTTCTTAACCTGAGGCACACTTTCGCTAATGGGGCCTCCTGCTGCTGCCACGCTGCTGGCATGCGACTTCCGCTCGCATCCCGGGGCAAATTTCGCTACTAGAAGCATCTACTTCTGGGTTAGCGGAGCTCATTACCCAAAGCATTCATAAGGAGGACGGTATGTAACCCGAGGTTCCACTGTACTAGACTGATACTACTACAGGAAACTAGTTAGGGATTTGCTCTCTGGAGGTAGAAGCTCATGTTCTAATCCCCATGAGTAAACTATATCTGCAGTTCTCTTTCAAAAGCTCACTGTTTACTGAACACCAATAAATGTTTTGACTTGCTTGGAAAACATCTATTGTGCCTATGTGTCACACACTGGTTAGCTGCAAGAGGAATGGTGGGAGGAACCAGCTGAGGACACCCCCCCCCCCCAGGAAAGAAGGCTCAGAGCCAGGGGATTGGTGGTGGGACAACAATGAGTGGTCAGAGGGAGAAGATTGGGGGGAAGTGTATGAAACTGAAAAGGTAATGGGGCTTAGTGAGTGGAAGGAGTCTGTGGCAAAGAGAAGTCCAGAATCAGAAGTAGGAGAGGAGGCAGAGCTAAGTCTGGCTGGCGAGTCGCACAGGTGTCTCCCCCTTCTGCTGCGACAAGCTCTGCTCCTCTCTAGTCTCCCAGAACCACGAGAGGCATGAAGAGGGTAGAGAAGAAGCTAGCTTCACACAGGTATAGACAGGTATAGTCTCAGGTTGCTTGGTGGAAATCCAGTAGAGGAGGGGACTTAGGCAGCTATGGGGAGGTGGGGACCTTAAGTCTCAGCAACTGCTTCATGGGGACAAGACCTGGCAGAGATGAGTTCCTATGCTCATTAGGCATTCCTATGCAGATGCTGTTTTTGCCAATAAAGACTTAACTACAACTTGCTCATTTGTAATTTACTGCTTGCTCGCTCCTATCACCATGTTTTTCGAAAAACAATGTTCAGCAGATGTGTGATTTGAACCAATGTCTTCCATTTGAACCAATGTCTTCCAATGTCTGGTCAAGCATAGTTGTTGCTGAGCTGCTTTGCTTGTACATCGTTTCTTCTGAAATGAATGCATTTGGGTTCAATAGCTATGTATCTTTATTCTCATAAAACCTTCTGGCTCCAAGCACTGAGCTCCAGTGCCAAGACTTAGAAAGTCTGCGAGACTAATTTTTGCATGTGTGTGAGTGAATTAGAATTACAGGTGTTGCATGAAAATGTTGATTTGTATATGGTTTTTCTATGATATAATGTATGTTTACGTTTTAAAATGCAAGTTTCTTAGAGGCCTTTTAGGTAACAAACAACTATTAAGTCTGATAGTTAAAACTAATAAAAAAAATAGATTTTAATTTTAAAAAGTGAAGATGCCAAAAACTGTTGACCTACTAATTTTAACATGCTTGAAACCTGTACACATAGATTGATGTGCTTTCTAGAAATATTATGTTTGATTTCTAGATTTTACAAGCAGTTGCTCAATTTAATTTCTCTTTTGGTCATTCATTAATTTTATAAAACAATGCATTTCAAAAAGGAGAAGATTTAACAGAAAATATAGTAAAAAAATAATAATAATAAGGCAGGATGTAATTTCCCTCACACAACTGCTTGCCACTTAATGTAATCAACAATGCAACATTTTTATCTTAAGTACAAAAGCACCCCAAAGGAAGTTCATTATATTTGCCAGGGGAAGCATGCCACTGGTATTTCAGAAAACTTCATTGTGTTTTCACAGTCCTACACCCTCGATTTCTTAACCAGGTTTGGAAGAACACATGTGATGCACAGGAATGTGTACCACCCTTCCATAGACCCTCTTCTCTCATGCAAATAATCTTCCTCAACGGTCTTAACCATGGTTAACAGTTATTTGTATATTACAATTAACTGCTGTTAATACCAACCACAGTTTGCTTCATTTATCTATGACTTCAATACATGGTTAATGGCAGTACCAATGTGGTTAAAACCAGTGGAAGGGAATCTGCAAGCCAGAAGAGGAATACTCAGCCCCATAGTCCAACCACCAAATAATGGCAAAAAAAGATTCCAAAATTGGTAGTTGGATGGGCACACTCTGCAGTTTAGTGGTTGGTAGGTTGGGGTGCTCTGCATCTCACAGTCATCCTTATAATTCTTCATTACTTCTTTCTCCATTTTCTTTTATGCTGTTTTGTAATACTTGACCCAGGACTCAGCTAGACTGGTAAAGAAAAAGCAATTTATACGCATCGTATATGCGATATAACATTGTGCCACCAGATGGTGACATGAAGTCCTGTTTTTCTTTAGCTGTGATCCCTGTTTAAATTTACGCTTTAAACTGAAACACTTATTTGATGTGTCTAGATCCAGCCCCCTTCTGTTCTCACAATAGGGGTGTGATGTAGATATTCACTGCTGATAGCAGTGCTTTAGGCAAGCTCTAAATCCTTGCCAATCGTCTATATTTTATTTTCATAATATTTTATTTTTCATCTCCCGGAAACAAATCCTGGTAACAAGGATATGGAACATGACTGCAAAGCTGAAAACTTCATAGCGTACAGGTGAGT